TTGCTGAGTTACTGAGACTGACCTATGTGACTACAATGTTCCTATAGTCTACTACTTACTGATTTTGCAATTGCATGACGTTTTTCTTTGTCATAAATTCAGCCTCGCATACTTGTGTGCTCTTTATATGTGCTGAACTTTCCTCTAAAATGGCTTTCAATTTTTGATTAATTTCAGACTTCCTTTGTGTAAGCCTGATTGATTTCTTTCATTGTTTGTTGATTTCCCTGTTACTTGGTCGAAAACTTTCCTTAGCCTTTCTGACTTGGTTTATTCATGGACCAGTAATTATAAATCTCTGACTCCTTGATTTACTATGTACTAATTGATTTTTACCTTATTTATTTAACCATGTATTTCAAAATTCTTCCCTTAAGTAAACTCCTATGTATCTACCCCTAATTGCCTACTTTGCACAAGATGCTTACTTGATCCCTTTTCTTAAATAATTTTGTTCATTACCGTTTAAGTTTAAACTCCTTAATTAAAGGAAGTCTCGTACTAATTGATTTTAATTGATACCCAGTTTCTTAATTATCTTCTTACCTTCTTTCCGCCTATTTTCACACTATAAATACTTGTTCTTCATTGACACAAACACACCAACACTCATATCTTTATGAACTTATACCCATACTCAAAAGTATTTTCGCTTGTTACTTTTACTTTGGCCTATTTGCAAGTCCTGCTCCCTGCTTTTCTCTATTTGCTTCTTTAAAAACTGGTATGTCCTGATTTAAGGTTTTCAGCACCATAACAATGTGTTTATTTACTACCTTCGTAGGCATGTCTGCCTACTGCTTCTGTATAGTTCAACACCTACTCTAGCATGCTGAAATTTCTTTCAGCTTGTTCTATTATGAATCCCAAACCCCTACCCATATGTGTTCATGCTATGGTTTGAGGCACGACAATACTACTGATTATTGTCCATGAATCAAACTTGATCCCCTGGGATCCTAGCTTCTAATAATGTGTGTTCTAGCAGGCTTATAGGTATGCTACCATTCTTCATTGTTGGGCATGCCTAAAGCCTGCCCTTGCCTAAGCAATAGGCTCTTCACAATTTCCTTATTTCCCTAGACCCCTAATGGGTACTTATTTGTAGTTGTTTCCCTCTGTTTTCCCCCCTTTAGCATTCTGTTCTTCACTTGCACACTTTCTTAGTCTTTAAGTTCTGCCTCCCTCTTGTGAGCCTTGCCTTGGGACCCTTTGAGCTCCCTCTGAACTTGGACACTTGAGGGCTGGCCCTTCCACACTTCACTTATCCTTGTTCTAATAATACATTTGGGTGTGAGCATTGCCCGGAGTCCCATTGAGGCTCTTAGAGAACTTTGACACACTCAAATGGGAGAAAGGCTTTGGATCATGATCTCTTGGAGTTGGTTTACTTCATAACTCAGTGAGGAAGTCAGAATCAGGCTTCCTCTAGTTGTACTTTTATTTATATTTTTCTGATGTATTCTTATTTTTTTCCGGGTTGTAATAATTTTTAATAAACTCTTGGGGATGGTTAGTGAAAAAGGTGGGTAACTATGTATGCAAAAGGTAGATACCATAAGTATTTTGAATTCTGCATATTCAAATGCATATAGAAATCATGCCTATAGGTCATTTTGAATTATGCATATCCCAATTCTCACATAGATACCATGTATATAGGTATTTTGAATTCTCCATACTCAAATGCATATAGACATCATGCCTATAGGTCATTCGGAATATTCAATTCTCATATAGAAATCATGTCTATAGGTATTTTGAATTTTGTATATTCAAATACATGTAAAGTCATGCCTATAGGATTGTTCAATTCTGCATATTCAATTGCACCTAGTTACCATGCGCATAGGCCTTAAGCAAAATTCTGCAAACTAGATACAATGTTTGTAGGATTAAAACCAGTCTTATGCATTTAGATACTATGCCAATAAGGTTTTCTGCATTTTTACACCATGTCTACAAGGTTCAAAATCAACAACGCATAAAAAGCATGCCTATAGGATCCTTGTCCAACGCTTAGGCAAGCCTTAGGGTAAAATTATAAGCTGAATTTGTTAATTATTACAACCAGCATGCAGGCCTGATTCGAACTTCTTATCTGAGTTATGTAATAAACTAAAACTGCCTCAGTAACCGTCCTTCTTCATCTATAATAATCAGACCTAAACAGTATGTGTAAGTCATGCTGATTACGTGCTTCTTTGTTTAAGGAGGTATATCTGAGCCTCTGCTTGTTATGTGCTTTCCCTCAACTTGCAATACGTGTTTTGTATGTCGCCTTAGAGTTTTTACCTTTGAAACAACAAATAAGCCCAATATGCCTCCCTTTAGAATTAGTAGTCCTAAATGCCTCCGGAACTGATAGGATTGGGATGGGTAATTGCATGCAATAAGTAAACTAGACCAACCCGCGCTTTAAATACCTTAACGGGGTGGGAATGGTAGATATGGATATGATGACCACGCGATAACGTCATGTGTAACCCCTCATTGAGGAGTGATTACCTGACGTAGTGTGGGGTGATCCATATTTTTAGTAAACCTAGGACCCCCCTTTCCTTTACTCTTATTTCTTTAACATTTTCATTCTAGAATCCGCTTCCTCAAATTGCTCTTTTAAACTTTGTCTATTTTCAAACCTTTATATGTGAAATCCCCTCCTATTTGAGCTTTATTTGTCTACATGTTAATTGTACCCTAAACTCACAATAATTGTCTCGCTGGGAACCACATTAGTGGATTCTGAGGGGTGCCTAACACCTTCCCTTTGGAATAATTTCAAGCCCTTACCCAATCTCTGGTTACTCAAATCAAACCCTCTTGGTGTCCTAATGCACCCTAATCATTAGGTGGCGACTCTTCAAATCAAACCCAATTCCCAAAAGGAATGAGTTGTCCCTCCAAATGTCATAAACCCGATTCCGCAAAGAACAAGGGGGCGCGACACCAATATATTTCCATAATTTTCTGTAATTTTTAAAAGGATTTTAATTAATTTATTATAACATTTTATTATCCAAATAATTACTAATTGTATCACAAACGGTTTTATGATAATTTTATTGCTTAATCATTTTTATTTATACTAAGCTTTAATTATTTCATGAATAGCCATATGTATATATTAGGGTTATAATTGCAATAACTTTGCAATAATAGCTCCATGTGTGCATAATTACCTTATTTCATAATATAATAACTTTTTATATTTTTATAATATTAAGTAATTATTTTAAATTATTTTCATGCATAAAAATCATTTTTATCATTTAATTAACTATTTTTACAAATTATTTTATCAAGTAATTGGTATTTAACAAATAGCCTCTTTAATTTTCTTAAATTTTTGGACCTAGCCTAAAACTACCCTAGCCCACTTAAATATAACCCATAACCCAATCTCCAAATAACCCGCCCTAACCCGGATGGAATCCTGGCCGTTGATCTCAGAAGATCAACGGTCCAGGATTCATTTCCTTTT